TCGCAGGTGCGCTGTCGGGCGGTACTTACTACTTACCTACCGACTGGGTGGGAGGGAGGCTGCAATTTTGTGGCACAGCGATTTGTGATGTGCGTGTGTGGGGGGGGGGGATATTTGGGCGTGTATTCTCGTTTCAATCCCTGTGCCATACTTTTCTCGTAAGATTCAAAATACAGAGATGAAAATATTATGTCACATGCGGACAAAACAGAAAGCATACTGAAGTTAAATATCGAGAAACCGGTTTCCTTCTTAGATAAATGAATTTTTAAAGTAGGACGTGACATGTGTAGCACAGATATATGTAGTTACAAGTCTCATTTTCCCGTTACAGAGTAAATCCTTTCATGTGGGCCGAGAAAGTAAAGCAATTTCAAGGCCAATCCCGCCGTTTGTGACGATTTTTCCGAACGTTTATATCCAATGAAATGAAATGAAATCCATTTCAAATTCAACCCTTTGAAGAATGGTCATGTTGCTGTATGAAGCACAAAGCGTCCCGTCGTTACATGCATAATACATATTCTTAAAATAACCAAAGTATCGCCTCATGCATCTCTCCAGATAGGTACACACTTCGATTTTATGTCACCAATCGGTGTCGTTTGAAGCACTTCCGGAGGGTATGAAGTCGACTTGTTGATTATTCGTTTCATAGAACTCAATTACTATACGCTGCACTGCACGTCGCTATGTATAGCATAGACAAAGCATAACTTGTTTACTCTTTATATAGAAGCTGGAATAGATTGGATAAAATCGATTGGAATTTTATCGATTCTTATTATTTTTCGCAAGGATTCCGAGGGAACTCGAGGGTTTCATGTGCTCGTGCGTAAGAATAAGGACTTCCTTGTCTTCGATCCCCAGTGACTTTAATTATTTCGGGCAAGGTGAAATAACTGCAAGGAGCATGCACGTCTTGCTTCACATGGGAATTTATCATATCCAATGAAAGGCTGATTCAGGGGGGTGACACGGCTATTCGCGCAATGTATTCATTTATGGGCCGCGCGGGGCCTCGCGATGACGCGGCTGGAGGCAACTGCTCAGCGCTATAGGATACTTCTGGCGGGGCCGGGCGCTGAACGGTGTGCAATGAATGGGTTATGGTCGGGCAGACAGAGATGAGGCATTGAATTTGAATTGACATCAGCAATCGGGTGGGGAAGGAGAACGTTTCTAATCGAGCTTGGGATGGGGAAAGCCGAAAATATCACGATCGGCTCATAGCTCCGACAGGGCCGGGTGCTGTACCATGTGTAGTATATTTAGGCGGGCAGACAGAGATGAGTTATTGGATTTAAATTCACCTTACCATCGGTTTCTGGTGAGGTTTGAAGACGTCTTTAGTCAAGCTCGGAGCGGGGCAACGGCCACTGGCGGATCCAGGGAAAGGCATTTGGGGCAAATGTCTTCCCCAACAACCAGGGCAGCGCCCGAAATCGATTTTCGAGAATAAATGAAAACTTCACAACTTTTCTGAGGAAATGTTGGTTAATCACACCGCACAGCAGTGCGCAAGGAATCGAAATCCGAGTTTTTTAAATTAATTCCGAGAAACCTTTTTGGGGTAAGCCCCCGCAGTGTCCAATACCGCTTCCTGGATCCGCCAGTTGTGAATAAGTCACGGTCGATACCGAGCTTCGGCGGGACCAGGCGCTGTACACGTTGTTCTTTGAATGAAGAGGTGGACAGACACCTAGCCCCACATCCTACTGCTATGCCCGTGCTTCTGTGGGTGAAGCACTAAAGCATCACGGAATCCCAGAGGACCTGCGAGTCGACGAGGTGGCCGCTTTGGCCGCCGGGTACTGCAGCTCCCTGGAGTTGCCTGGGACCGATGGCAAAACAACAGCTCCGGCGGTGCCCCTATGGGCCGTAGTAATTAGTGAATTCCCGTAATGTAGAGATCATATCCTCAATGATCTCCATTTTCCATTACCATTTTATATTCCTAAACAATATGACAGACCAATTATGCTTGCCTACGTTCAGGCATTACCTCTGATGGTCATACGCCCAGTACAACATGTGTTGTCTGTCAAACAACAATCGACGACGGGATCCCTTATCATCTCTTAAGCCATCGATCGGTTGTCAATTCACCCACCCCGTTTCCCTAAAAATAGACGGTCAGATTCGGCCTGGGTCCTTACGACCCCTCTAGATTTGCCAGAGACGGGTTCGGGTCGCCGTTATTGCACCCGTCTTAGTGTCTTTAATACATAGACAGCTTCGACCACGGACGTCGGACGGGGTGATCGTTCTACGAATGTACGCACCATCCAGGCCTAGGATGCATCGAGGTTTAAAAGGATGCAGTCTGTAGATCAATCAACATAACAACGGTGGTATGCAACCACATTAAAATATCTCCCTGGCTCCCGCAACGTTCCAACGCCCCTCCGTTATGCATTCGCCCTGTGTGTCCGCCGAACCGGCTTGCCTCCAATGACGTCATCGGCCGGCCGGCGGCGTTCAAGGTCAAACGGCTGGTGTCCTTACCTGGAGTTCTATAGCCTTGGGCTGATTTAGCAGAATGTCCCTGAAGCTTAATAAAAATCCACAAAATCGTCTGTCCTGGTTTTTGTGCATCCCTTGAGCTAAGCTGCTTTTCTCCTATGAGTATTTTTACCATTAACCGGGATGCGCCAGTTCTAATCTGACCAGAATCACCTTACTAAAGTACTTAAACCACTTGTAATCCCAGACGGCACTGGCACCAGCTTAAGTACTCCGCCTTAAGCAGTGCCGACCTGTAATAATACCGGTCGGATGGCACATCTGTAGCCTACTAAATCACATTTGTTCTTGCGACATGTGCTGTGCTCTTGAGACAAACAACGCGTCAGGCTTGTTCGCTATCACGCGATACCAGTCCGGGTCAGGGGCGAGATTAGACCGAGCTGAGGTGGGGCAGTGGTCTGTGTTCCAGGGTAAGACTAGACCAGTAGTCTGGCGAGGGGAAGCGGCCTGGTCTTTGTGGTCGGGAGAACAATGGTCTTAAAAAAATGGTCTGGCAAAGGATGCTCTCTGTGGTTTCGGTGATTGACAGGGTCAAAATGAACAGACTCAATCGGAACATAAATTATTAGTACGCATTTAGTTCTTACCTATCATCGTTAATGCCCCAGCATAATTTGTGACTGATACCTACTTCTATTAGTTTACCTAACACAATGCATTGGCATTTAAGCTATCAAGTTAATTTGATAATCGTTGCTACCACCTCTGGCGATCATGTTATGATTAGGTACTCGGCTATTTATGTCATTTAGAATTAATCCCGCGATGTAAAACACGTTCAAGAAATGCTGTACACGAAGGAGCAAAATTTTGAGATGGGATGAGGCAGACATCGCACTGATTTTACTGGAACCCTAGACCAGCTTCTCAGAAAGCTGAATTTTTCCGTATTGGTGCTACTTGTGTGTCCGCACATGCTATGAAACAGAGAGAACGACTTCGTTTTCTGTATTTATTGCGATTACACTGAGCGAGCGCTTATCTGCCCGACCACAAGGCAGCTGGCTGTACGTACAGATGTCCGATATTGTGTGTGTTTTGCCGCGTACACGGCGGCTCTAGATGTTCACATTTCGATAACAGCGCGTCTAGAAGAGGAGCGGGTTGCGGGGCTTGTCATAGTTGTATCCACTGCAGGACTCCTTCACGATCTTGGTTTTGTAGACGCTGCTGATCTGGTCCTTGATCACCGTGGAGACCCGGTTGATGGTGTTGACTTTGGTGACGTTCTTGACGATGGTGCTCGTGGCGCCCGGCACCAGCTTGGTGTTGATCACTGTCTTGACCACGGTGCGGAGGACGGTTTTGCCGGGACCAGGCTGCACCGAGGTAACAACGGCCGTCTTGAGCACGGTCTCAGTCACCGGCAGCTGCACCACAGAGGTCAGGTAGCTGGTGACGGGCACTACCTTCCGCTCAATCTTCGTAGAGGGCACCACCACCTCGCTGGTGATGAAGGCGGGTACAACTTTCGTGATGTAGTTGACCTTGACCTCGGTAACCACCTGGGGCACCAGCTCTGTCTTGATCACCGGCCGGATGACGGTCGATACCTGGGTGCGGTCCACGTACACAGTACGCGCCGGCTGCTGCACGGAACTAATCACCGTCTTTGTCTCCGTCTTCACGACGGTCCGCTGGATGGTCTTAGCTGGCAGCGTCTCAGTGACGTACACGATGTCGGTGAGGTACTTGACCGTGGTACGGATGTTATCGGGCAGCTGTTGACGCGCCGTGCTCGTCTCAGTGCTGATCTGCGGCACACGGACCGTGCTCTGCTGGATCAGTGTGGAGCTAACCAGCTTGACGTCAATCTTCGGAACCGTGCGAACCACGTCCTGTGTGGAGGTCACGTAGACGGTCTTGACGACGGGCACGTACTTGACGATTGTGGTCCGGATGACCTGGTCCGGTCCCGGCACGGTGATGGTCTTGAGCTGGGTGCGCTCAAAGGTGGATCGGACCACCTTGATCTGTGTGACGGGAACGATCTGGGTGTTGATCACTTGGCGGCTGATGAGGCTGGGCACCACCGTAGTACTGGTGAAGTACTTGGTCTCGGGAACCACCACCTGGCGCGAGCTCTCCACTACCTTGTTGACAGGCACTGAGACGATCTTGGTCTTGTAGACGTCCTGCACGGGCAGACAGGTGGAGGAGCCGCGCGGGTAGGTGGGCTCCGGGTCCGGCGGCAGGTACGAGTCAGCCAACTGCGGCGCCGCAGACGCCGCCGCCACCAGGCATGCCAGAGCGAAGAAGGTCCGCATTCTGAAATTAACAGGACACCATTAGTCAACAAACAAGGCCATATACCCATGCGTTGTTCTGGCAAAAGAGTCGATGATATCAAGAAATGCAAGACGGAAACAAAGCGAGGTGCACAACAAATGCATGCTAATGCAAACTTACCTGAAGATGCGGTGATTTTCAACTGGGGCATGTATTTTTATTTATAAGGAAAAACGCCGTGATGTGGTGTCAATTTATTTATTATTTCAGTTACAAACGTGTGATGTGCCAGCTGTCATGTGGTCGGGGCAGGCACACCCTCAGTGTAATCGCAATTGGTACATCAGTACTATCCCAGCTGATCGTAGGATGAACTCTGGTCTCCATGGAGCTTCTTAGAAGTTGAATGGATTCTTGGGGGCGTCATAGTGGTATCCATCGTCGCACTTCTCGGTTTTGACCACCTCCTTTGTGACGATTCTCGGCCTGATGACTGTCGTCCTGACGATGTTGGTAAGGACGCTGCTGATGGTGCGTAGGTCGGTGATGACGCGGTCCTGGCCGCGCACGGTGGCCACCTGCAGATCAGTGCGGATGACGCTGCGAACCACGTCCGGTCCGGGCACCGTCCGCAGCACGGTGGAGGTCGAGGTCAGCACCAGCGGCACAGTGGTGTAGCTCTTCACGGTTTTCGTCAGCAGCACGGGTACCTGTTCGGTTCTGACGATGGTACGCACCTGCACTCGGCTCACCGTCTTCGTCTCCGTCACCGTCCGGAGCACCTGCTTGTTCTGCGGGACGATCTGGGTGCTAATCTGGGGCACCCGCTTCACGCTGGTCTGCTCGACGATCTCCGTGCGCACTATGTTGTTGACCTTGTTGATGACCGGTCCAGGAATCTGACGCACCACCACAGAGGTAACGTAGGCGATCTCGTTCTTGATGCTAGTCCGCGCCGGCGGCTGGTAGGGCTGAACGCTGGTGATCCGCCTCTTCTCGGTCTTGGTGACCACCACGTTGCGGCCTGGCACCTGCACGACCTTGGTGACGTAGACCACCTGGGGCACGCGCTCCGTGATGGTCTTCGTGATGCGCTGCACCACAGTCGAGTACCGCACCTGCGGTGTGGTGACCGTTACGGTGCGCTGGACAACGCGCTGCTCTGTCTTGTAGCTGATCTGCTCCTTCGACTGGGTCACGGGCAGAACGCTGGTCCGGCCCGGGCCTTTCACGGTAATTGTGGAGACGCGGTTGACGATGCTGGACTCAATCTGTGTGCGCACCACCGGCGACTTGACCTGCTGTATGCTGGTGACCAGAATGGTGGAGGGTACCACCTTGGTGACGACCGCCGTCTTCTGGATCACCTGCGGCACCGTCACCAGCACCGTCTTGACCACGGTGTTGACGATGCGCTGCGTCTCCGTCTTGTAGAATGTCTTGGGCTGCTCGCAGCGCACCACGTTGGGGGTGGGGTTGTCCGGGCCGCCGGGCGGCAGGTAGCCGTCGGCCAGGGTCAGCGCGCTGGAGAATCCAGAGCCCTGACCGGCCGCCTGGGCCACCAGCAAGGAGGAAACCAGAATCCGCCACATTCTGCAACAGAGAGCAGGTACATGGGGATCAGTGATTGGACCTTATGTGGCTCTGAGCGGAACTTCAGCTGAGCAAGGTGTCGGCAGTGGGCAATAAAGTCCAATCACTTATCCTCGGCATGTACCTCTCTCTATGGCAGTTGTGAGCGGAGTGGCTATACTGAGATTGGATGGACTTTACTGCCCACTCTGGCCGGGCCACCAGGACGGGTCGCGGGGCGGGCCTCGTGCACCGTTTCCGAGGTCTGATTTCCAGCAGCCACCCATCAGCAGGTGACCCAGAGTAACTTCCTTCCGCCAGTACGAAGATAGTGGGAACTGGTGATTTCCTGAACGCTTTCGTCCAGCTGCTCTGCAGCTTGCTGGCTCCAACAAAAAAAAAATCATGAAAGTAGCGCGGTTGCTCTGTATGAAAATTGGGGTGGGAAGCTCTTGCATTGTCATTGATTAATTCAAACCTGAATCTGCATTTATTTTAACAAAATGTTTTGCTTTTGTTCAGCGAAACTCGAAGCAGGCAAAGTCTTGCGATTTATTGCAACAACGTCGCCAGTACATTGACTTCATGCTTGATAATAAGTGTTTCACTGAAGGCACTCATGTGCTAATAAAAAAAAATATGACGAGGTTATATTCGTGCATTATAAAGCTTTTCGGAGTTGATATCGTAAAATGCTTTTAACTATTGACTTCATAGTCTACTCTGACCCAGACTTTCAATTACATTAGTTCATTAGTTTTTCAAGTCTTCATGAAATATGATTTTTTCCAAGCGATGTTTTACTACGGTAATTCAAATTTTTTAGACGTTCACCGTTTTAGGTGAACGTCCGAGTGTAACGAATATTTTTCTTTCCAGTTTATTCTTCTTTGGACTCATGGAGTCTCGATTAATAAGGCAAAATTGTTAAATTAATTCAATTTTCAACCAAATCACTCGTGCACTGCACCATGAGGCGGACGTTCGCTCGTCGCCTCAGATGATCTCGTTCAGGCTGAGTTCTCCCCATTTTGTTCACCGCCACCGCCCAGCGCCTCTCGGCGGCCACTCACCTAGAGGATTTCAGGTGCCACCACAGAGCGGATGGCAGACAGCAGAATGTGCCCATCTCGGCGGCGGATGACGGTTTTATACCCCGCTCCGGTGACGTCACGTCCGAGAAAGAACCGCCGCTCAGAGCAGAGATACAGAGACCGGGTCAGACCGGACCGGCGCGTCGCCGCCGCTGCCACAGGGAAGATGATCTGGTGACCTTGTGACGCGTCGGAGAAAGTGGCCTATGGGGATTCTGCAGGAGCGCGCTGACCGCTGCACCGTTCAGCCAGAGCACGCTGTCACCTGGAGCTGTGATGTGACGCCCCCGCCCCCGTCAGACGTGTCAGATCGGCGCGAGATGTGATCCAAGGAGGTTAAACGGTGTCATGAGCCGTGACGCACTTGAAATTTTTATGGCCGTGATTCATGTATGAGTGATAGCTTGAGAAGGTGTCATTGGACTTCCGTACGTGTAGCTTGCAAGTGTTCTCTAGGGGTACCCGCATTTTCGAAATTTACCAAGGCTGACCCATTAAGAAATATAGGTATAATTATGTTTAAGACATTTTTAAGTAGCATTAAAGGGCGATATTATTAATTGAACTATATACAGGGAATGAAAAAATACCAATAAATCATCACATTTTTACAAGTCCCAACATCATACGACATTTTTTATATAAATTTTGTCCCAACCTATTGGTTGGAAGGATTCATAAGGAAAGAGCCACCGCTAAGCAGAGCTTGTTGCGTTGGCTCTGCCCTCTACCCTCTGATCGCGCAATTCCTGATCTATGGCAGATTTTGGAGTCCAAAGTTTAACGTACGCACATAGCCGCGCACGTCCTGTCCACTCACTGACTTCGCCTGGCTACGGCGTGCCACCAACCGCAACCATACCCGTCAGGAGACTCATTAGACATCGTTCCTAATCTCAAAATTTGGAGTGGTCGGATCTTGAACAGTTACACGATAGATGAAGTTTTAAAATTGTTTTCAGAGATACGTACGCCCTTTTGCGTATAGTCATATGTTTGTTTTATATCATGGTCCGAGTGTTGCAATAAGTCGCCTCATGCAAGTCCATGACACCACTGGACTCAGCCAAGTGTTTGGAATATAGATGCAATCACTAAATGATTGCTGGATCATATTCAAGAGAGAAAATAAGAAAGTTCGTTTTTCTAGCTGGGGCTGTCAAAAAATCACGGGCACCACGCTCTTTTTCATTGTGAAGCTCTAGCTCGATCAGGGGCCGATCGGCAGGGGTCCAATGGAACTCCCCCCCCTCCCCCCCCCCCCCCACCTTGTGCGCTAGCGGCTGGCAAAACACCGATAAGGGCGAGGGTTTACTTGTAAAACGTTGTTTGTCATGCATGCATGGGATTATTACGTAGAATGGTGTTAGTTAATTTGTTACCTACTAGGAATGTACAATACTTTGTATAATTTTTCCCCTTTTCTTCTGTTATGTAATGTATTTTTTCAACAAAAACTGCAGTATATGTTCTGCAAGGAAATTGAAAAAATGGACTACTAATGAAGAGCCGCTTTTATTGCTGAGAGATGGAAACGTGCTTGCTAATAAGGCTTATCACCGATTAAAAGTCAAGGTATTTGGTATAAGGGTTGAGATCAATGCAATTATACTGGTCATGATTGACCTACTCTTTTTAAATCTCAGTGAACAGAGTTAGGAACATTTAATTAATGTCCTATCGGGACCGCAAAACTTGCATTTCATTCGGTCCAATCTCCATTGGAAAACACTGATGCGATTGATAGCGTTTTTTTTAGGAGAAGCCTTCAACTTCATTACCTGAAACTACACTGAAATAGCTTACCTATATGTATATAATTCCTAATTTGTTGCATCTCCGCTTATGTCATTGCACTTTTTCGCATCCAGAGGTAATGATTCATGAACGTCATGCCCACTGGATTAGAGTGTGGTCGTAGCTCGGTCGTAATTTCCCACGGGTATCCATGGACATCGATCATGCATTGTGTGCGGCTCAGAGCAGCCACCGGCGGCACGCCTGATGCATTGCTCGACAGCGCTCTGCATTGCTGATGGGTCGGATTGCTGTCTCTCTCATCAGTATCGGGATATGATGCCGCAGACCCCTAATGGCTGTCTGAACTCCCGAATGTGATGGTGGATGTTTTTGTTAGACAGATAAGACATACAGAATAAGTTGTTTTAAAAATAAGGCAAACCACATGTTGGGTTGTTGCATAGATGCATTACATACATGGGTATATGCGTGCATATATATGCGGAAGATGTCGCTGGCTTCTTTTTTCTTTTTTTTTGGTAGGTTTGAAATCGATTTCGTCAAAGCTAATCTCCTAATTCAAGGCTGTCAGTTCACTTGGTGACACTAACTCTGTCTTCTCACACCCTTATCTTTGTCAATCACAAAAACGAGCCTGTTCTGAATGACTGTCGAGCCTTCGGTGGCGTTATTATCGCGTTGTTCATCGAGATTCGGCGTTGGATAACGCGTTTCTGCAGGCCGCTCTGTCCGTTGCGCGGCGGACAGGGCCGGGGACTGTCTGAACAGCGCCCACTGTCGGGAAGCCCAGAGCCCTCATCTGCGCGTCCTCCAAATGTCATGGCCGCAGCGCCGCGGCTGCTGCGTTCGGCCGGTCGCACACGGTCCGGCTTACACGGCGTCTGGTGACCTCCGGGTGAACTGGGCCTGCCGTGCAGCTGAGCCCGCGGACCGCCGGACTAATCCGACCTGGGAGAGCCGGTGTGAGGTGCCAGTAGGGAGAAATAAGATCTGACGCGACGACGGCCTGACCTCTACGCATTGCCTCTCATACGCACCAGGCAATGTCATAGTCCCAGACTGAATACCTGGAAGCAGGTTCAGGGATAATGCCACCTCGTTAGTTTGCATTCTAAAACACCTGCATAGGTGGTCAATCGTGATACATCATAGCATATTGCAACATCAATTAATTGGCAACAGTCGATGAGTTCGCTGTATCTGTCTTTTTTGCATCAGTGTCCCGGAGTTGCTTTTTGTGGTGAGCTGGCATTTCGTTGGATTAGCTCCTTGCAACAGAGCAGTAATCCATTAGGTCCACACGAATTGTGTATAATTATAGCATATGACCTCTGCAAATAAACAGGCTGTTAAGAAACCTATCTGGCAAGAATACGGTTAAGCGAATGGTCACTGTCTATTCATTTCTTTTAGAGAAATCGTTCAACTGTGAGTTCTAAAAACGAGTCGATATAGTTTACTTGATTTTTTTCTGGGCTGTCACCTTACCCTCTGCAGTGCAGCAGCACTTCACAGAAGACGTCCTCCCCGGACGATTTAGAAGACGGGCTAGAGTTGTCATTACGAGATGAACATGGCAGACCAAGGCAGCCTGATCTGTATCGGGAAAAAACGGGTCATGGCTGCCGGATTGTCGGCAATTTTTAGGTCGACACCAGAAGAAATTATGTGCGCTAAAATCTTCACAGCCGCCGTCATTGTTAAGGAAGCACTCTGTGGCAGTCTTATGACCTCAGCAGTTGTATTATATCTCGCAAATCATCGCTTAACCTCCCATGGCTGCGATTGTCAGTCTCCTTCAACGCACAGAAGTAGAGTCGGAGTTAAGAGGTAACTTGAAAATAAGCTGATAATGTCTTTTTAACGCTCAGCAGATTGATACCTGAATAGCGTTAATTGATAGTACAAACCAAAGTTACACAGTGGCGTTCTCATATATTCCTTCTCTCCTTGCGGGACTGCTTTTTTCGGCAGACGAGTCATGCACCCTGTCAACCTCCTCCGGAGGCGCTTCTGTGAGCGACCGTAAAAAGTCAGCAAAGGCTAGCCGTTTCATGTTCCTGGCAGTCAAGGCTACTGCACTTATAAAGATGTGTAGTGGTGAACACGAACTTCGGTATATCACTATACTTATTGTTTTCATGAACTGTGATTAGCTTCCAAGAAACACATAACGAAGCGCAACTTATGTCATTGCATGTGAAAATCGTGAACAGTGTGGAATATACAGCCGGACCTTCTCCTCCCCTTTAGCCTTCTAGAAAGATGTGATATAGGATAACATTATTGTTTATTGGATGCCGTTAGCCTGAAAGTGATCAGAAGGTTGTGAAAAACGCTTCGTGGCAGACAGCAGCGGCACCTGGCAGCAGCAGTAGCAGGTGGAGCAGCAGCGGCCAGCAGCGGCACCTGGCAGCACCCATTCGTGTTCCGCTCGGCCTGACGTCCTTCCCGTTTGTCCAACAGGTGTGTCCCATGGTCACACAGGTCACGTGCGGTTCCTGGCGTTCGTCGAGTCCTCGACACCCGGAGAGCCGACAGCGCCGCCGCGTGCCAAGTCTCGCCGACAGCTCGGCCGTCTCCGAAGCGGTGACAGACTCCTTTCTCCAGTGAGGAAACTCCCATTGCCAACCTGGTTTAGAAACATGCCCGGCTGCTGGACTTATGTTGACGTCAGATGGTATCACAACGGTGTTTTGTACATAAATGCTTTAAGCACGAGGAATGACCAGTTTTGTAACAGTGGCTGGATGATGAGCCGTTCGGCTATATGGCATGACCTTTAACTTACAGAATAATTAATATTTCGCCGATACCTTGCGATATCATCTTGTCCCACCTACCTACTCTCTAGTTTTGCTACCAGGCTTTAGTGGTTCTAAAGTAGCTGAAGCAGGTTCTGCATTCTGCTCCCCCTCTTCCCCTCTTCAGCCAGAGCCCTTCATTCTTGCGCGTGGGCGCGGCTACGAGTGCCTTATAGTCCCACAGTGCCATGAATCTCCAATAATCCCAGCATCCATGAATCACCAATAATCTGCTGGTGACGTGCGTTTTCAGGAGCCTGCACCGGGGAAGTTCCTGGTGGTGTCTGGAGGTGACGGTTACGAGGACTTCCGTTCCTCGGGCTCAGCACTCTCCGGACGCGATGATTCCACCAACCATCTGCTGCTCTGGAGTGTCTGAGAGAGGCCGGTCCAGAACATTCCCCCAGTCCGGAGCCAGGGCTCGCCGAGCTGTACGGGCGAGCCGCGGCGCCGCTGCACAGAGAACCGCAGGCCGCGCAAGTGCGCTGTCGTCTGCCGAGATGTGACAGAGAGGAACGGGAATCCGCACGTTATCGAGATGAGGCCAGGTGCTGCGTGTACGCTCCGCTGGTCACCGCGCGCTGCGCGCCGCTCCCTGGTGCGTTTTTGTTCCGCGGGGTTTGTCTCAGGGTCTGGGATCTGACAGGCCTTAGAGCCAGATATTGCAGATTTTACCTTTTTCTGTGCGGACGGCAGCTCCGATCAGTAAGACTAACGGTCCCTGCGTGTAAAAGTGCTGCGACGTTTTCGATGTTGGATCACGCAAACAGGTTTTTGTCTCCTGCAGAAGAAGGTTGTATGACG